GCTGAAGTAGACACCCAGGCTCAGGTTAGATTCATTTATTAAAGCGAGTGGATCTTCAAAGCTGCGCTACGAGTCGAGATGGACTGAGAACATCAACATCCAAATGTGTCAATTAAACACAACGTCAGATTCATGCGGTACTTGCTTTAAAACTACAAACTCACCTTTCTATATTCCAGCATCGTTCCGAAGAACGGCAGCGGTTTGGGCCCCGGGATGCCCAGCTTCTTGAAGAAACTGTGAGGCCAGGATCCATATCTGGAAATGACATCCGAACCGTATGAATAACAGCTTAGACTGTTCTCAGACAGATGCTATGACATAAACAGCACCAGAATGATACGACTGTAATTCTTCAAACTCTTACTGACGTTTAACAGAGTCACAGGTCACTTACACATACAGAAGTGCCACAAACAGCATGAGCAGAGCCCATGTTTCAGCGGAGAAGAACAGACCGTAGCTCATGGTTTCTGCTCCGGGACGCTCAGACTAGAAGCGCTGCAGCTTTATTCTGCTCTCAGATTACACATTAACCAGTGGAAGACCTCTGAACCTCTGAACACAAACACAGCTCACCTCTAACACACTGCAGCACCACCAGAGCCGCTTACATCATCAGCCAAACACTAGACTTACAGCATAGTCATCTAAAGACTGCTCGAGACTTCTTAAACTGAGTTACATAAAACCATACAGTATAGACTGTTTTCCCATTGGTTACCTGTCGTGGCCAGACATGTTGGCAGTGACATCAATTTTGTGTTTTGCAAAGTTTGCTGTTTCAGTATTGTAGATTATTTTTCCATGTTTTTATGGTATACTGAACAACAATGATAAGCATATCATAAGTTTTAAAGGCTTTTATTGGCAATATATAATGAATCAATATTTACAGTGTTGACCCTTGTTCTTCATAACCTCTGCAGTTCGCTCTGGCATGCTGGATATTAGCTTCTGGGCCAAATCCTGACTGATGCCGATCCATTCTTGCTTTATAAGCTCTCGGAGTTGATCACAATTTGTGGGCTTCTGCTTGTCCACTCGCCTTTTGAGGACTGACCACAGGTTCTCTATGGGATTGAGATCCGGGGAGTTGCCTGGCCACGGATCCAAAGTTTCAATGTAATGATCTTCGAGCCACTTCTTTATCACTCTTGCTTTGTGACATGGTGCTCCATCATGCTGGAAAATGCACGGATCATCACCAAATTGCTCATGGATCGTTGGAAGAAGTTTTGATACCATTCTTTATTCATGGCAGTGTTTTGGGCAGAATTATGAGAGAGCCCTTGGTTGAAAAGCAGCCCCACACGTGGATGGTCTCAGGATGCTTCACTGTTGGCACAACACAGGACTCATGGTAGCGTTCACCTTTTCTTCTCCGAACAATCGATTTTCAAGATGTCCCAAACAGTCGGAAGGGAGCGTCATCAGAGAAAATAACTGTGCACCAGTCTTCTGCTGTCCAATCCGTGTACTTCCAGCAGAATTTCAGTCTGTCCTTGAGGTTTTTTTTGGAGATAAGTGGCTTCTTTGCTGCTCTTCTTGACACCAGGCCGTTATCCAGAAGTCTTGGCCTCACTGCACATGTTTCTCTGGAGGTAACCATTGCTAACAAGAACACAATGATTGGAAGCGCTTTTATAGCAATCAGTCTGCTCTTACAATCTGATTAGTATGATAGTGATTAGTCAATTAATGTTAGCTGCTCATTTTGTGTCAGTATCAAAAAACACAGAAATTTGTTTTTTGCTAAAAAAGTTATTTGTTTGGCCAATGAAGCTTTTAGCAGTTATTCAAAATGCATCTGATCACTCTACACAATAATCTAGAAACCATGTGAATGAGCACCGCAACAGCTGAAGCTGCAAACTTAAAATAGTGTCCATTTTAACATATATTCATGATGAGAGATAAAGAAGAGAAACACTGGCAGATTGGGATGCAAAACCTGGGTCAAACAAACAAACAAACAAACAAACAAGCAAGGGTAAACCTGTGAAAAAGAATATGACTTCACTGCAGTTTTGTTCCACTGCATGAGAAACGTGTCGATCACAGAGTTATCTGCATCATGTGTGATGTTTATGATTGGTATTAATTATCGTTCGGAGGCCAGCAATCTCAGTTATGCTCTACTAGTTTACATAGACTATTAGTTTATGTAATGGTAATGGTTCTGGGTCAATAACAAAAGTAGTAGCCTACAATATGGCCACCTTCCACAGCCCCTTTTTTGCGATTAATGACGTGATGCAGTGGTCAAATGAAAAAAAGTGTTTTTCCATGTAATAGATATATTATTAATCATATTTAAGTGCTTTTAGTGAGATTAAAGTGACTTTGTCTGGTGTCTTGATGTGAAGAAGCACTGGAGATGTGTTCCTCCCGGGCAGCAGGGGGCGCTGCGAGCGTCTGATCCGCGCGGAAGAGGCACGGCTTCATCGCTCTCTCCGCTGGTGCGTCCTCGCTCTGCTCTATCTCTGTATTTTGGTCTGTATGCTCGATGGTTTTCTCTCTGACTAGTGCTTTAGTGACAGTAAGCGAAGCTTTTCTCGCTGTTGTGAGCTGGACGGGTTCATTCACTGTTTCTGGAGAAACGAGCAGAAGTCTCACATTTAGTTTCTCTCGGATATCGGTTTATTAAATCCGGCGACTGAGCGCGAAATGCGTTATGAATAAGAGACCGGGGCTAGTTGTCACACGGATTTGAGTCAAACTAATAAAGAAACGCGAGGTTTCTAATTAGCTGCTGTGGACTAGTTAGCACTAGTTTAACTGGTTTTCATTGTGTGTTAAGTGGCGGGAAGACCGGGGTCACGTGGGAGCTCTGAGGAGCACGCGGAGGTCAGACTACTTCACTACTGCATGTTGTCTTCTGACAGTGCTCTGGTGTCTCAATCACGTCGTGTGATGATGCTCAATCCGCGCCTGCGCACTGGAGTGCTCTCCCTGACAGAAGTCCCAATCTGTCACTCTAGGGAATATTTAGAAACAAGTTTAGGTATTAAAGAGTTTTTAAAACATTTAAAAGGCCAGTAAATTCCTTTTGTTATAGAATGTTTTGATTTTGAATTTAAATATCTATTTTACATGCAAAACCTATATATTTTCTGCTTGGTTAAGTTAACATGATTGACCGATTCTTACACAATCACTGCATTCAAGACTCATCACGAGCTTGAGGTCAGTAGCACCACACTTTTGCAGTACCCCTGTTGCATCTTTAAAATACCCTTTTCGCATTATTTCACTAAAGTATCGTTTTCAGCTGAATAAGTATAATTTAGTTTTTGTTTTCATTGTAATTTTTAAGTTTAATTAATGTTATGTGTTTTTGTTGATTTTAATAGTGTTTTTTAAACGTATATAAAGTTTTTACTAATTTTTATTTCCGTTTTAGTTATTTAAAGAAAATTAGAAATGTCGCATTGCAAACTAGCCAAGTAATTAAAGTTGAATAAAGTTTAATTTTTAAAGAAATGTTAATTCAGTTAATGTTTATGTCAAGTAACAAAAATGAATTTTTAAGGTTTTAGTTATAGCCCTGGGTGGGAGGGCAAATGATAAATTGATACATTTTAATAAAATGTGCCATATATGTATTCGTTTATGTGAATGATGAATCATTTGTGTGTTTTTCAGCACTATCATGGTGAGGACGTACAAAAGGAAGACGACCCGCGCGAGTACGGCTCCTGACACCATGCTGAAGGCCGTCCGGCAGGTGCTGGTGTTCAAGAAAACCATCCGCGGCGCGGCAGAAGAGTTCGGCATCAACTACCGCACGCTGGCCCGCTACTGCACCAAAATCCCGCGCGAGGAGGTGGAGGGCAGCGCGGAGCACCCCAGCTGCACCGTGGGCTTCATCGGCGCGCGGCAGGTCTTCAGCCCCGAGCTGGAGGCCGAACTCCTCGCCTACGTTTTACTGGCGTCTGACGTTTATTACGCGCTCCCGCCGCGAGTGATCCGCAAACTGGCCTACCAGCTAGCCCAGAGCCACCAGCTGCACACGCCGCCCTCGTGGAGGGACAACAAACAGGCCAGCGCAGACTGGTTCGCCAGCTTCTTAAAGAGACACCCGCTGCTGTCCATCAGGAGTCCAGCGAGCGTCTCCAGTAGGAGTCACGTCGAGGTGTTTTACAGTAAGCTGACGGCGCTGACGGAGCGACACAGTTTCAGACCCGAGCACATGTGGATCATGGAGGAGATGGGGATCACTACGGCCCAGCGGCCGGATCGAGTGCTGGCCAGGAGAGGCCTGAGACAAACGTCTGCGGACCGCGGACCCCTGGTGAGCGTTGCCTGCGCCGTCTCCGCCGCCGCTCACATGATGCCGCCCTACTTCGTGTTCCCGCGGGTGCAGTTCAGGGAGCATTTCCTCAGCGGCGCACCCGCGGGAAGCTCCGGCGGAGCCCATCTGAGCGGCTGGATGAGGGAGGAGCAGTTCCTCCACTTCTTACAGCACTTCACGCGACAGACCGACTGCACCGCTGAGAGACCCTGCCTGCTGCTGCTGGACAGCCACGCCGCGCACCTGTCCATCGAGGCCCTCAACTTCACCAAAGCCAACGGCGTGGTGTCTCTCTGTTTCCCGCTGCACTGCTCCCAGCAGCTGGAGCGCACGCTTTACGGCCCGTTTAAGAAGAGCGTCAACACGGCCGTCGACGGCTGGATGCTGGGCAGTCCGGGGAGGAGCATCACCATTCATCACGTGCCGGGAATCATTGCCTCTGCGCTGCCGCTGGCGGCCACACCGGACAACATCAGTGCAGCGTTCAGAGCCTGCGGGATCTTCCCTCTCAACCCAAACCAGCCGGGTCCGGTCGCTCCCAGCGGTTCAGACTCGAGCGGTGACGCGGCCGAACGCTCGGCGGATCCAGCGACAGCAGGCCGAGACTCGGAGCAAACGGTTAATGCGCAAGAGAAGGACTGCCGTCTCGACTGGCTCTCCTGCGATTACACCGCTGCAGAGACCTGCAAATAAAACACAGCAGGACTTCTTCTTCAATAATAACTCGAGACGCGATTGACCAGAATCTCTGTTTGTCTTTTATAGTCACACACGTTCTCTTTGCTTATACAGTTTCTACAGTTCAGAACCATCAACAACGTTTCAGTGTTTTTGTTACCTTTTCCACTGTTGCCGTTTAATGAATTGTTTTTGTGTAAATAGTAATTAAATTGGACACATTTTAAATGCATAAATTGTGGAAGATGGCTTTTTTTATGTTCTGTGTCATTAAACAGCAGTCACGGCTGTGACAACATGCCCCGCTATAGGTGTTTCTGTTTCTTGGGCAATAACTGAAAATGTTCCAAGGTGTTTTTTTTTGTATGTGACTAAAATACCTTCTGATCATCTGTGAATATTATACATCTCTAATGTATGTGATGATATTGCTGTCACAATAACTGCATACAAAGAGCTGCAGCTCAATACATTTTTCTGAAAAAAGTCCCTTCTGCTCATCAAGGCTGCATTTATTTGATCAAAAATACAGTAAAAGTAGTGAAATATTACTAGTACTACAATGTAAAACAGTTGTTTTCTATGTGAATCTCTGTTAAACTGTAATGTATTTCTGTGATGCGCAGCTGTATTTTCAGCATCATTACTCCAGTTTTCAGTGTCACATGATCTTCAGAAATCATTCTAATATACTGATTTGCTGCTCAAGAAACATTTCTGATTATTATTGAGCATTTTGTCCAATTATATATATATATATGTGTGCATAAGAATAATATAATATATTCATAATATATATATATGTCAGAAATGAAGTAGTTTTCTTTATTAACAGCTCTGTTCTGTGTAGTTCTGCTGTCATTCTAAGTTTGATCAGATAAATGCTTCTTGTAGTAATCATGCTGTGTGTGTGTTCAGATGCTGATCATGAAAGCGCAGGTGGATGTGCTCTGCTGTAAATCAGTAGGAACTGATCTGTCCATGCTGGATATTGAGGATTTCATCTCAGAAATCTGTCGGCTGAAGAAAGAGGTGGCGTCACTGGAGGCAAAGCTGAGAGAAAGAGGAGAGGTTTGAACAGCTCTTCATCCTTCAGCTCAGTCACTCAGTGAGACTTCTGTTACACACCAAACGTCTGAGTAATGAGGTTAATATCATCAGGTGGTTGTTTATTAGTGTTTATCTGTGATGTGTTACTCAGGATCTGGAGCAGGTTTCGGTGCGTGTGACTGTGTGGAGCAGGTTTCAGTGCGTGTGACTGATGGGACAGAAGCTCAGGATTCAGTCTGGAGCGTCAGAGATCAGAGATCCAGAGACACACAGGACTCAGAGCTCAGCCTCACTTTACTCTGTTATACTGACGCTCAGGATCATGAATCCACTGATCAAACCTCTGACTGTAACGCTGGAGAACAGCAGATGCTGCAGACGCCGCTGAAGATGTGCTCCGTCAAACTGCTGGACTGCAGGAACCTGATGGAGAGCCGAGGAGAAGAAACCACCGCAGAGAAACAACAACAACACCGTGATGAGGAAGAGGAGGAGGATCAGAATAATGGGGATGATGAAGAGTTTATTCCTGCAGGTTTGTTTCTTCTCTTAATGATCTTTTGTGGTTTTTCTCTTGAATGTCACCAGAGACTCTGCAGAATCAGGTTCATGTTGGCTGATGGTCTCATCTGGTTTGAGAATTATTGTTAGTATTACATTATAAAAATATTAAATCATGAAGGAAATGTATTGCTGTTCTAATAGTGCTGTTGTGCTGTAAAATAATATTACAAAAAATATGGTGAAATGGAGCTGAGAAAACACCATGTGATGAGATATCATGAGTAAAAATACATAATATATTTATTTTGATTGATCGTTCAGTTCTGTCAGTTAGCCTGATATAGACCGATATTACAGAAATAATGAATCATATCAGATCTGTAGTCAGGCTATAACAGTAAAGTGAATAATACCAACCCTCTACATTGCGAGTAAATGTGACTAAATCTTACTCTGGGCGACTAAATAATGTCTAACATTAGCCATTGGCTAATAAATTCTTAGATTTTTGTGTAAAATAGTATATCAGTCTGGCGAGTAAACAAAAAAATTTACTAGCCAGTGGCGATTATATTGCCAAGGTGTGCGTAGAGGGTTGAATACACTGACTCTTTCCGACATTTTAACATTTTATTACCATTTTGTTCCTTTCAGATGAAAATGGAGGTTCATCTTCTGATGGAGACGAAGAAACGGCTTCAAAGCGGCTTCAAATCAATGTAAAAGATTGGATGACGGCAACAATTAATTTCTACTCATTTCCTTGTTATTCTGAAAAAACTACAATATATTGCATTATGGGAATTAAAAGGGTAGGCCTTAAGGTAGCCAATGATGTGCTGTTTTTAAGTCACATGACAACTGAATGTCCCTCCAAAACTCCTTTTCCCACTGTCACCCTCACACAGAAGACACCTGTTGAAGTGCTCCAGAAATTGCTCTATTAACTTAATTTGTAAACATCTTTTCTCAAAGGGGATTTTTTTGCAACATCTTTGGCAAGTAAATTAGGTATTTTCATTCACAAATCAATTTTGTCTAACATAGTTTTACTGTAAATTAAGAAAATATCAAAGTTGCCATATGGCAACTCTGTACCACAGTGGAATTGCAGTAATGTATTTCCCCATTGGGATTTATTATAGATAGTAGCATAAATAAAATGATCACAGTTATTTATTGATTTGAAGTGTTTATTGTAGTATAGTTGTATTTATGTATAAATAACAAAATTATGTATTCTTTTCAGAAAATGAATACAGCAATATTTTATGGAAAGGGCAATAGGAAGAGTGCAGAGTTAGCTCTTCCATGTGATGAGAGTGAGGATGAGTCATATGGTCACTGCAGTCCCCCGGATCCAGTCCGTATCCAGCCCAGATGGTGGCTCAGCACCTAGAGAGGACTTCTACAGCCCTGAATGTCAGCAGAGACCAGGGCAACTAGATGAGCCACAAAGACAGATCCCTAGTGAAGATCTTGTCTCCTAGACGGCCACCGGGACAAGACCACTACTATTGTCATTTTGCATTATTGACACACTATTTTCCTAATTAATGCTGTTCAGTTGCTTTGACACAATCTGTATTGCTAAAAGCGCTATATAAATAAAGGTGACTTGACTTGACTTGACTTCAACATCAAAAGATCAGCTGATGAGTTTCACAGAGTTGAGTTCACAGAGAAACTTAATGAAGCACGAGAGAACACACACAGAACAGAAAGACTTCAACAGCTTTCCTACCGCAGAAGAGAGGAGACTTAATTCAGAAGAGCACAGCGTGAAGGAGTTTCGCTGTGAACAGTGCGGGAAGGATCTTTTCACCACTGCTCAGAATATGAAAGCTCATATAAAGACACACACTGGTGAACAGTGTTTCCAGTGCAGCGAATGTGAAAAGTATTTCAGCACCAAAGCAAATCTTGTTGTTCATAAGCGAATCCACACGGGAGAAAGACCGCACAAGTGCCCTCACTGCGAGAGAAGATTAATGTATGGATTGGTTCTGAAGAAACATGTGCGTGTTCACACCAATGAGAGACCGTACCAGTGCAGCGAATGTGGGAAAACCTTCACAGAGTCAGGCAGTCTAAACCTACACCAGAGAATCCACTCTGAGGAGAAACCGCATCAGTGTGAACACTGTGAGAAACGCTTCCGGCAGAAATCCCATCTGAAGTGTCACAAGCGCACGCACACCGGAGAGAAACCGTACCTGTGCTCCCACTGCGGGAAGAGCTTCTCTGATCCACGCCACTTCCAGCTTCACCAGCAGCTGCACACAGGAGAAAAGCCTCACCACTGCGGCGTCTGCAGGAGGAGCTTCCATCAGCGCACTAATCTGCTGAAGCACCAGAGGATCCATACGGGAGAGAGACCCTTCAGCTGCTCTCAGTGTGACGAGACGTTTGCTCGATCAGACGTGCTGAAGATCCACCAGCGAGTTCATACAGGAGAGAAACCTTACCGCTGCTCCATCTGCGCAGAGAGATTCGCTTATTTAGGAGCTTTTCAGAGCCACCAGAACAAACACGCTAAAGAACAACCCTGAAATCATCACCAGAGCGTCTGTTATTAATGTCAACAACTCGCTTTAGATCAATGTATATCTGGAATTAAAACCCAAACACCTGGAATAGTTCAACTAAAGATGAAAATGTGCTGAATATGTGTTCACCCTCAGTTCATCAGAGATTAGGATGAGTTTGTTTCTTCATCAGGTTTGTAGAAATGTAGCATTGCATCAGTGTCTCAGCAATGGATGCTCTGCAGTGAATGGGTGCCGTCAGAATGAGAGTCCAAACAGCTGATAAAAACATCACAATAATCCACAAGTAATCCACAGCACTCCAGTCCATCAGTTAACATCTGGAGAAGACAAAAGCTGAAACTAATCCAGCATTAAGATGATTTTAACTAATATACCATAGAGTCCATAATCCATAATAACGCTTCCTGCAGTGAAAAAGTGTTCTGGTCTGAATCAGGAGAGAAATCTGCACAGATCAAGCAGCGTTTAAACAGCTCTAAATATCTGCCCTGAAATCATCATTGTAGCTTCTGCTTTCCTCTTCAGAGATTCAGTTTGGTCCCGTTTATCCCTGCTGTCCGTGTTGCTGGAAATCCTGCTTGTGTTTGGCTCATTTCTTATTGCCAGTAACGAGCAGTATTGCATGTTTTCATGCAAGTAGAGATGGGATTATATTGATCTGATTTACTCTTGTTCTGGACAGAACCTGTAGAAAGTGTTTGCATCTGAACAAGATGATGTACTCAGAATATTACCACTAATAAATTCTGCTTTCAACACATTTATTAGACGTTATTTTGAGAAAATAGTGTGGCTATCTGGAGTGAGCATGATTTAACATCGTGAGGACGAGAGGAAAGGATGGTATTACAGAGCTCAAAGATGAGATGAGATGATAATATCCAGGACACACAAGAACAAACAGTACACTTTATAATATTACAGGAAGGTGTCAGTACTGTAGAACATGTTACTGCCAGAAATACAAGGCTGAAAGAAGGATTCTCATACAAAATCTGGCAAAGACAAGAATGCATTTAAATCTAGTTGTTCTAAATAATTCAGGCGCTGATAGTTTTCTGCTTCAGGGTCTTGTTCCCAGTGCCGCTGATTGATCTACAGATTTGAGAACACAAGTACAAAAGTGTTCAAATACATCAATAAACAAGACTGAAATCAAGGGACTAAAATCAATATTAGTTAGAAAGAAATGGCAACCGTTATGGGATAGCAGAAAAAGGGAGATCTTCAGGAGTGTGCTGGAATTGAGAGGATGAGATATGGAAACAGAAAGAAAGATGTTATTATTTCAAGACATTCAGCATTAAATTACAGTTTGCATAAAATAGGAAAGCGTGAAACTGGCAATTGTGATAAATGTGGAAACCCAGAAACAATGAAGCATATTCTTATAGAGTGCGTTGTATTTGAAAGAGAAAGACTTTTCTCTGATTTGATCATAAATATCTCACTCAAAGTGTAATTAGGAAATGTTTCAATGCAATCGAGTTCATGAGGAATTGTTTCAGTATGAAAGAATATAATCCCCCCGTTCTGCAGCTGAGCGACCCCTGTACTCCTCACTCCAGGTCAGCAGGGGGCGCTAATTCACCTATAAGCTGCTTCGCCAACCGCTAATAAAACACCAAAGAAGAAGAAGAAGCCGCGAAGATGTTCCGTGAGATCAAACTTTTCCGTTAGAACCGAAAAGACGAGGTTTGAAACAATCATAAAGAATCATATTGACGGTAAGTTCGGTTACCAGCCTTTAGTAATATCGTGTCAGGTTGTTATAAGATGTTGTTCTGTGTGTTTATTAGATCGTAGTAACACTGCTGTTGTTGGCGCCATGAGATGGATTGAAATCGAAAGTGAAAGTAAATCCAATGGAATCGGTATGTTTTCCTCACTCGACTCCAGGGCCGTTTCTCAGGAGTGCGGTAATTCTGCAAATAGAACAGCGTACTTGATTGATAAAGTCACTCAGCTACTCCGTTATCCTCACTGTATGCATTTACAAGAGACGAAATATGATATCAGACACCGCTGCATCTTTTCGTTTTCAGTTAAACATATTAATAGTCGCAAAAATGTGGTTCATGCGAGGCGTACACGCATTACAATAAAACGAAATGATATCAAGCACCACTGCCTTTTCGTTTTCTTCCAAATATAAAACACAACTCATTTCGTTTTCATTTAAAAAATCTAAAACATTAATATGTGGTTTAGGTAATATTGTGCACATATACTCACTGATTATCTTCACTGAATGTTTAATAAAATGAAATATGACGAGCACAACTCTGCCTTTTTTGTTAATGTCAGTTTTAATGAACAATAATAGCCATTATAAAAGTATAACTATAAAGTATAAGAGACTTCTGTAATAGGAAATAAGACAAAAGCAAACAATTCACTCAAATGTATGCAGCAAATTCAGCGTTGCATTACGATTAATAAATAAATAATGAAACATAACTTTGTGCTCAGTCAAAGCAATATGACCTGGAAGCAACAGTAGATTCATGAGACCAAAGATTGGCTGTTAGATTTACCCTAAATGAGTTATATCTCGTGTTTAGCCACTACAGAGACATCAGAGCCAGCGGTGAATGTCAGAAGGACTAGCCGAGGTTTACCTCCTCTCGTCGGGACTCATGAGCACTGAGCGCCCGCTGATCGTCTCCGAAATCAGTGAAGCACGTTTTCAAATAGGCACTGTCTTTATAAATAAACCGCAGATTTGAGTTTTAAACAACTACATTCTCGCCTGAAATACTCTTAGAACTGCATGTCATGACCCAATAACAGTAAGTAATATTTTGAAAATTATGCGGGTTTTCTCCTCCGCCATTAACGCTCGCTGATTGGTGCGAAATGCATTCTGGGATACCTGGCTGCCTCAGGTTGGCACAAGTCACCCCTGGAAGCATGCTTGATAACTAGGGCCCTAGCTCAGTCCTTCAGAGGCTTGTAGGCTAGTCCTCTCGGCATTAAACGCTAGAATGAGACAGTCTAGTAAGTGCGCGTGGCTATGTCACATATGTTCCAACCCTCACCGCCACGGCACGAAAATACTAATAAAACGTAGTTTTGGAAAAATACTTTGTATTACAAATCTTTATATTATTTGGCTTTCTATTAATGCAATACAATGAATCACATCCGTCTAGTCTCCCCGTGGCTAACATTATTGGCAGTTTAGCGTTTAGTGAGTAATTTACACCAAAACAAAGAATAACATCTATGCTTTCATGTCCGAAAACATTATTTTTGTCTTACATTTCATAATAAATTCAGACAAGTTGACTCGTTTTTCGTCAGTTTATTTTCCTGAAATGGAATGGTACAAAGGATTGTGGGTGATTGAAGGTGGCGGAGGATACTTGCATCCTTCAGTTTCAGCTGAATGAACGACGTGAAACGAAGGCTGCCTTCCAAGGATCCTTGCGATTGATTTGATGACGTGGCAGCCTTCCGTTTGAGAAACACCCAATATGTGAAGTTTGAATTGGAACAGTTCTTGTGCGACGACTGATGACGCTCCACAAGAACACAAGTACAGACAAGAACGCATATTGAGAAACGGCCCAGATTGTGGGGGATTTTCTAATCTTTTCTGAAATTATGTAAATCAAAAACGTAAAAGTAAATTATTTCCACTGAAGCTATATTTAGGTGATGTAATTTGTCCTCACACAGGCAGAGCAGAGGCTAATCAGCGGCACGACGAGTGTAGGATTGAATGCAACTAGGGCTGGGCGATATAGCAAAAATATCATATCACGATTTTTTGTCATGTTGGTTTTACTATTTTGCAAGTTGTCTGAGCATTACAGCCAAACTAATTTCCCTATTATAAAGACAAGGCCTTTCATGGAAACAAATGATAAAAAAAAGAATGGCGGACATTTAGGCGAAGATACAAATCTTTGTCATTATTTTATCTCAAGAACAAAGATACACATTACAAATACACATAATATACAAATAAAACAAACAGTGTTTTATTTTTAGGTACAATAGGTGTATTTAGCAGGAGCATTCAAGAAACTGAATGAACAAATATAAGAATAAAACACTATATAGACTGATTCCTATTGAAGCAACTGTATTAAAGTTTTTCAGTCAAGAGTAGTGAGTGATTTTTCTCTTTGTGTTTTATTAACATTAAAGCAATGTTTCACCCAAAAATAAAAATTCTGTCATCTGTCAATTCTGTCATAGTGTTTTATTTTTATACCATCATTACTCACTCAAAAGTTGTTTTAAACCTGAATGAGTTTCTTTCTTCTGCTGAACATAAATGTTATTTTGAAGAATGTGGAAAACCAAACAGCTGCTGGTCCACAGAGACTTCCATAGTATTTTGTCCTAAAGTCAATGGGGACCAGCTACTGTTTGGTTGTGAGTAGACAATGACAGAAATGACATTTTAGGGTGAACTATCCCTTTAATGACAGTAGGCAGCATGTTTAGTACTGTCCCTTTAAAGGAGACATATTATTCCCCTTTTTACAATATGTAATATAAGTCTCTGGTGTCTCCAGATTGTGTCTGTGAAGTTTCAGCTCAAAATACTCCACAGATCATTTATTATATCATTGTGAAAATGCCTATTTTGAGTGGAAGCAGAAACACGCTGTTTTTCGGGCCTGTCTCTTTAAATGCAAATGAGCTGCTGCTCCCCGCCCCCTTTTCCAGAATAGAGCTGCGCCATTACAGCTCGCACCTGCTAAGAACATCTGTTTTGGTTCTGATTATCATGTTTATCGCGCTGAAATCACATCCGAAGCACACGGACAGAAAGCGGCTGTCACAGCATGCGAGTACTAAACTAAGTTCTCATTCACACACGAGTTTACGTTAAAAACACACATGAGTAACAAAAACAGTCGATTATGTCTGTGAAGATAAACAGCGGGGAAATAAATCGCATGTGTATATTAGATCTGTGTGGCAGCAGCAATATACAGTAAATAAATCAATAAATGCACTGCTCTGTTGTCTGCTCTGAGGCTGGGACTCTAAACAGTGTTCTGTGCTCGTCTGTGCAGCCAAACACAGAACAGTTAGCATGTTTTGCTCAAACTTTCTCCATGGCATTAGAACTAGTACACCATTATCGCTTGTGAAAACACAATAACGGCGCCGTGGGTGTAAACTTACAGATTAAGGGGTGGTAATATTATAATGAGATCCCTTTGCCACGTCACCAAGGGAGCAAAATCAGACGCGCTCGTTTTCTCAGACGCTTGCAGAAAAAGGCTTCCCAAAACAAAGTTACTGGGTTCATCTTTTTCACGTTTCCTTGGTTGGTAGATGCACCGGAGACCTGATTATAGCACTTAAAACCTGGAAAAGTCAGATTTTCATGATATGTCACCTTTAAGAGCTGCACGCATCTAATATATAGGCACTCATCCGTTTTTCTCTCAACTGTTTACTTTCATTTTAGACATAACCAGCTGAGTCTATGTTAACCATGTGTGTTTTGACAGTATTAGCGCAAAAGATAACTTAGTCCAGTAATCAGGCGCTGTTTGACAGGCTTTTTAGTGCGCGCGCTTCGGGTGTACATGCTCAGAAAAAGCGCATGCCGTAACAGCACGGCAAGTTTAACCGACAAGGCTTTAAAGCACATGCAAATAATGTACTTTTATGATTGTGAATAAGTGCAGTCTCCTGTGAGAGTAACCTCTGATAACTACCTCTGAGTTAACACTGATGTGAATATATGTCGCGTTGTACAGTAACGTTAGATATAATACATTTAGACCACTTATCTTAGTGATTGCTATCAGGATGTGAAGAGACTTTTAACCAGCATAACAAAACATGGTTTTTAACCAAATCACCTACAGTATTTCCGCTACATTCATTCTTCAGTGATGGGCCGCCACACCAAAAATCATCCCCGCCACGGTGGAGCAGACAGAGCAGGACTTGAATTTCGGCGTGGGATTGTGGGTATTGCGCATCATTCTACTCATTCCTGCAGGTTCCGCGCTTGACAGATGATGGAAGAAAAGCAAAAAAACGTGAAATTGAACTCAATACAGTACTCGCACACTCTCCCACACCCAAAGCGCACGCACATCAGCCGCCTCTGAAACAGCGCGACTACAGAATTGAGTTATGTTTTGCGCCTTATTGCGTGTAAACGGCCAAATACATACAAAATTGTCAAAATGCCCATCTTGACGAGTATTCACGTAAATACAGTCGGTGTATAGGCTGTTAAGTGAATCTAAATCGTTCAGAAGCAAAGCACACTTGTAACATTATATTATATCCGTGCCTGAGGTCTTAAAGAGACAGCAGCCGAAATAAACCTGTCATTACTGTTTATTTACAGTTAAGACTATCTAGTGTATTTACAGTTGAATAGATTATTCAGTTTCTGTAGTACCTAAATATTAGTTAGACCTACCTGAAAAACTTAAAATTGTTTTTTGTTTGTGCTATTGCTTGTCATTGATTTATTTGTTCTTTATTATTATTGTTTACTTGTCTTTTTTTTGTTTAAGTGCACGTGATTCTTGGGTGGGGAGGTTTAACCACCAGGGCAAGGGGGAATGGTCCATGGGTAATAGTCCTGCCACCACAGCTGGAAAAAATCCTAGAGGAAACACTGACCTACCCTGCCTTTAATGGAACATTTGTTATCTGTTAGATCATAATAGAAGGTAAGTTATGTTGGCATGAAACGTTAGCATTAAAACATATTTATACCCAATTCATGAAATGTTTTTTTTTTTTTCAGAATAGTTTGACTTAGTTTAGTTAAGTTTAGTTATACGTTTTTTTTTTTAAACTTGTACTTTTTTAGGACTTAATTTTCCAATTAAGTAACATTAATTGGAACACTAGAAAGACATTTTTAGTTTGTATTTTGGTAGCTGGGATATGTGCTGAAATTAATAGTTTGAATACACTGTAAATTACTTCGATTTAAAACATCTGCTAAATGCATAAATGTAATATTAATATAATGTTCCCAGTGTACAGGGAAGATGTCAGAATTTGAAATAAGGAAGAGGAAGAGGAAGAGATCTTCATCTCCAGAACCCAGCTGTGTGTCTCTGAAGAGCAGTCAATCCATAAATCCTCCTCTTGAATTCAGTGATGAACCAGTGACCTCTGACCCCAGGTGATTATCAACATGTATTTGGTGATTTATCTGCTGTAGTGACAATATTTTAAGACATTTATAAAAATCACTGCACAATGTCATTGTTTACTGATATAGCAAGATAAATCTAATGAAATGTGCAAATAATATAATATACCTATTATTTATAGGCACCTTTTACGGCACTCAACGACACCTTACAACAAAAGTCAATAAAATACAATCTATACAAAACAAAGACAAACAAATCAAACAATCAAATCACTAAAAGCCTTTCTAAACCAATAAGTTTTAATCTGAGTTTTAAACTGGGATATAGAATCCAGCTGGTGGATTTGCAATGGTGAACCCTAGTTCCCAGAGGGAATGAGACGCTGCGTTGAAACGCTTTGGGAACGCTTCTGCGTGACCGCGCTCTGAATCATGTGTGGAATGGTGAGACGTCACGGGCGGGGTGACATAACGGCCGGGAAGTATAAAAGCACATGCGGTGGATACAGCAGCAGCTTCTGAAAGGTGAAGGAAGCGCTCACAGGGATGCAAGAAGTATGGCATGAGACACAGCGTCTCGTTTCCTCGGGTTACATACGTAACCTAGTGACATTCCCCTTCAAGAACTCACGCTGCGTCGAAACGCTTTAGGAACGAGAATGTCCACACCTCCATGCTTACAAGTCCCTGCCTAGTATGGATGGGCACAGCTAGGCTGAGAGAACAGAAGAGCCAGGAGTGGCGTCAAGGTTATAGAACCGGACAAACGTAAGTGGAGTGGACTAGGGCTGTCAAAATGGCTGAAAAACTAAATTTGAATTTTTTTACTTAAATATTAGCAATATTCAAATTATATTCGAATTTAAAAGGCATAATTTCAGTTAGGGGGAAAAAAGCTCTTTCTTCTCTCCTGAGGCCACAAGAGGGCGCATTGAGCAAAATAGTATGCACATTTCTTCAAAGCATAATAAAATAACACGACTATCTTTGAAAAAAGTGCATAATGTTTAAAATAATGTTTATAAACCTTATATAATTAATACAGTTGCTTAAACAATTAGAAACAAAACAGCATCATGCGTGTATGTATAGTTTAATAGAAAGGACCGAAAACCAATCACAAAGAGTACTTTCTTCATTTAAAAACTTGAGATGCAGTTGGATGGGGAAAACCGCCATAAAGTCTTGAGACATGTTTTTTAAAACTTGAACTTACATTAATTTTACATGGCTTTCTAAGCATGCGGCTCTCGATGGGGAAAACCGCCATAAAGTCTTGAGACATGTTTTTTAAAACTTGAACTTACATTAATTTTACATGGCTTTCTAAACATGCGGCTCTCTTGTGCGAGACACGAGTGCAACGGTGATAAATGTCCCTCTAGAAAATGCGATAAATATGCGTTCTGTGTGAACGGCTTGGTTTCGGTTTTGACGTAAACAACATCATCCCCGCATTGATTGATCTCTTTTTCTGCAATATTTTGAATGAACAACGTAGCAGCTCCGCATCTAGTGGGTTCAACTTCAACTGGATAGGCTAATAAAAGCATTAAAATGCAATGACACTTACATAGTCATCGCATTTCGTGCACCACTGATAAGGCTGCCTGATGCACACCTAAAATTCGAATGCAACGTTTTTGCATTCGAATGTGGATTTTTATTTTAAATTCGACGAATATTCGAAATTCAAATTTTTTTTGACAGCCCTAGAGTGGACCATCCCACAGCGTTGCAAATATCATGTAACGAAACACCTGAAAGAAAGGCCTTGGAGGCCGCCATACCCCTAGTAAAGTGAACCTTGACCCCCAAAGGAGAAGGGAGATCAGAGGACTCATAGGCTATGGAAATAGCATCCACAATCCACCTATTTAGGGTCTGCTTTGCCGCAGGGAGACCTTTCTTAGAAGGGCATAGCAGACGAATAACTGATCTGGCTTTCTTCACAGGGCAGCTCTCTGGACATAGAAGAGATGGCTATTAAAAATACAGTCTTGACTGTAAGGTACCGCTCCGAAACCTCCTCCAAAGGTTCAAAAGAAGGTTTACAGAGTGCTTCTAGAACAGTGTGCCGGTGGCCTCAGCATCAGTGTACCATGTAGGAAACGCATAATGTGGAGGGGGATAACCCTGCGGAAAACTGTTCTTGCAGGAACTGAACCAATCGGGAATTTAACTGGATCCAGCTGACAGTTGCCACACCAAGAAGTGAAAAGGTGCCACTTCGTGGCATACCATTTCCTCTTGGAGGGAGCTCTGGACTGGAGTATGGTCTCCACTACCTCAGTAGAGAGACCGGAAGCTATGAGCTGTGCCCCCTCAGGGGCCACACCCTCAGTTTCCACAACTCCGGGTGGGGGTGAAGGATAGAGCCCCCCGCCTGAGATAGAAGGTCCCTCCTGATGGGAATCTCTGGGCACTGTGACAGGAACCATGGTTTCTTCCACATGTCTAAGGCCCGTAAGCATCACTTGTACAGCAGGTCAAAAGGTATCACGTTGGACGCTGCTGCCATCAGACCCAACAGTCTCTGAAACTGTTTGACAGTGAGTGACCGGCCTTCTCTCTTCACTACTTAATCCCTTTTTGACAGTATAGTGTCCCCGTCACAATACTGGGGCGTTAGGACCCACGCAGACCACAGGGTGAGCACCCTCTGCTGGCCTCACTAACACCTCTTCCAACAGCAACCTAGTTTTCCCAAGAGGTCTCCCATCCAGGTACTGCTCAGGCTCAACCCTGCTTAGCTTCAGTGAGCAACCAGTCTTGGGCTGCAGGGTGATATGGCTGTGGCTGTGAACAATAGAGCGCTTACTGAACAACAGAAGCTGACGCTGTATCCACCGCATGTGTTTTTATACTTCCTGGTCGTTACGTCACCCTGCCCGTGATGTCTCGCCATTCCATTGGATGGATTACACACGTGATTCAGAGCACGGTCACGCAGAAGCATTCCCAAAGCGTTTCGATGCAGCGTGAGTTCCTGAAGGGGAACTCCATAATATTGGGGCTAAAGGCACTAGCTCCAAAATAACTTAACTTGACATTTGGAACAATCAATAGCCACGTTTCCACTGTCAGGCCAAAAGCGGGCGTGCTAGTGCGTGGCAGGGCCAGTCGCGTTTCCACTGTCACTTCCGGGGCTTGATCGGGCCTCGTCGGGGCTTCCTTGGGGCCAACGGCCAGGGATTTTCGGCCCGCCAAATACCTTGGGCCAAAGCGGGCCAAGTGGGGCTAGAGGAGTGGTTATGAACAAAGGCGGAGTTTATCCGAGTTAGAGACGGTCTGCACCGCTGTTCATTTCCCATGTTTTCATATTAAGCTACCAGCTAACATCAACATTCAAGACATTTAAAACAATTTTAATGGCAAAACTCACTTTCAGACACCAGCGAGCATCTGAATTAAATTACGATTGGGACGTGATGGGAATTCTGATCACCGTATGAGGCAGAAATGTATTATACATGATGTTAAAGGCTGCATATGCTAACAATCGCTATAATAAAATCAATCTATGCTTATGAAAATACCAGAGAATGCTTGAAGAACTTAGACAAATCATATAAGATTATAATCATGTATTTATTTGGTTTAATATTTGTTCTGTCTCCTCCATGTGTCTTTGTTTATACCGGACTTCTGCATCCGCATATGTCATAAATTTCATATATTCTGTGTAACTTATAACTCCGATTTTCTGTCTAATAACTCAGATTTTCCTGGCTCCCACTGGCCCAACAGTGGAATAGCGGCTAATAAGTCTACAAAAGATGATCTCTAGAGAATGTGAAAGAATGTACGGTTGAAGGAGATCAGATAAATAAGGAAGAGCCAAATCATAAAGAGCTTTGTAGGTGAGCAACAAAATTTTGTAATGAACATGGTACTGTACATGAAGCCAATGTAGCTGGAAAAAAATAGGTGCTATGTGGTCAGAAATATGTGAATGCGTTACAATGAATAGTGAATGTGCATGGGTCCAGCTGAGTTCTGCATTAACTGCAGTCTGTGAAGTTATTTTTCACACCAAATAAAATAGTTACAATAATCAATCCGTGATGTTACCAAAGCATGAATAAGAACTTCAGTGCTATGGTGAGAAAGTGATGAACAGAGTCTAGCAATGTTACGTAAATAAAAAAAAAATGCAATGCATGAAATATTATTAATGTGTGAACCAAAAGAAAGCAAACCATCAAATATATGCCAAGACTTTTCACTTTGGTGGAAATATTAACTGAGCAGTTATCAATTCGATTGAGTTTTAGATGAAGTAGACTTAGACCCACCAAGAATGACTTCAGTTTTGAGAAGTTCTTAGTCAATCAAACGTTAACATCCTACAAACATTTAGTAAGTTCAAGAGGGGGATGGGAAATATTAGTGTGATGAAGTAGCTATCCCCGTTGGGTACAGTGCACGCACACACTTACCGGACCACACACACACACACACACACACACACACACACTCACCACGCTGATTTCCGTCCCCTCCGTTTGCTTGCCAGCCGAGCGGATGCACACGCCATCTTGACAGCCCATGGACAGTTTCACACATTACATTTCCCTGTTTCAGATTCATCCTGACCATACATACTACATAACGCATGCATTTTGTCTTGTTTATGTCTTGTGTTTGTCACGAGTGTTTGGCATGGTCAGTCTTGCTGGTGGTGCCGGCAAAACCAAGCGATTGATCGTCACTCGCTTATGACTTCATTTTTGGCGCCGCGCTGGTAAAAAGGGAGGCAAGACTCAAATTTTTCACTCATCATCAGAAGGGAAAAGTTGGATTTCAGACATTGCAGCGACCGGGCGAAAACTGTCATTTTGGCTATATATATATATATATATATATATATATATATATATACACACACTTA